CTTTTCTTCCCTTTGGATTCCTTAAATAATTGTTCCTATTTTGAGCCATTTCCATTTGATTTTCCCCATGTCCAATCGTGAAAACCTAAACTTTGAAATCTTGAAAGCAAAACCATCTGATTTTAATCGAGAGATTTTTTAAGTGATTTCGATCATTTAAGATGTAATTAACTATAGGGGCTTGCCTCTATAGGGAACCTGGAACTCAGATAAAATAAACCTTATCTAATCCTCGTATTAGGTAGGGGAACTTGTCGGCAAATAAAATATTTCGCAGACTAAAACGGATGCCACAAATTATTTAGTCTAGGTGATTGAATTCCCATTACAAGTGATATATTTATTCGTCGGGATAAGTGTATTACCTGTAGTATTATATTCAATCATCTAAACTATTTAAAATGTGAGACCCGCTTGGTCTTACCTATTTTAAAATTAAAATGTTACATTTAAAAAATCAAAAAAGTTTATATTTATATTTAAATTATTTTCGAAATCACAAAATCATTCACTTTCTTAAATCACGAAGTTTAAAAAAAAATAATAAAAATAAAACGGCCGACACCATTGATTAAGTACATGTTGATTTAGTGTCTCAGGAGTTGGGGTAGGTTGTTAAAATAGCATATTTGTCATTCAATTTATTAATTTTTCAATTGATTGTATATAGCTTGTTTAAAAAGGCATTCAAGGCTTATACCTCAAGGCATACCTTGAAATAAGTTGTTCAAAAAAACCTCAAGGCTTGAGCCTCATTGTTACTAGTGAGGCTTACGCCTTTTTGTTTGAGGTGTAAGCCTCGGGGTATTTAATGTTGCTTCTTGATCAAGCTATGCTAAAATAATACATTATATTGATCTATATTATATTGTTAGTTATCACTTAAAATTTAATTTATTTAAGGATCAAAGAGGTCTGAAGATAATATAAGTATGATATCTTGCTTAAGTTATTAATTTATTCTTTTATTTTAAATTGTATTATATTTCAGATTTATTGATAATAAGAAGAGAATTGTAGTGAATGAAGAATATTTTAAAGTTCCAAAGGAGGTAGAATAAGATGATTCATTTGAGGATAATGAAAGCAAAGGACGAGACCAGTTTGGATTTTGAACCTCATGGGATATTCAAGCTTTCAGTGAATGTTTATGTAGAATCACATCTCCTCTTTTTGAGTCTTACTTTTTGATTTCCCTCGAGGCTTACGCCTCACCTCGTTAAGGCAAAACACTTCAATTTTTACTTTTTCCTTTTTAAACTTTGAACTCCCATCCAATACATTTTTATTATAATAATTGCTTTTTTATTACTCCAGCAATCAATCTACAGGTGCAAGATCTTGCTGGCATTAGGCTTATCACAATTATTTTGGGTCATCATTAAATGCTTTTTATCCCTTCATTTTAATTGAGTTCAGATGAAGTGTTAATTTTTGCATCTTTTCTAGCAATGTATAATACTAATACATCGGCAATAATGGTATAGCTGAGATGAGTTTATGCCTGATATTAACTGATTTATAATTAAAATTGTTCTTAGTTTCCATAAATAGACAAATTCATTGACGATGAATTGTTTGTTGTAGGGCTACAGGAATGCATCTGCATCAGAAACGTAAGTCATTAAGATCATCCTCTTCTATCAAGGGTCTCTTATCAATTGTTTGGCATTACATTTCTGGATTTGTAAGCATTTTTTTATTTTATTTGTCCTATTTTTTATGAATTTATGTAATCCGTTATGGCAGTTCAAAGCTTCTAAACGGAGAAGCTAATTTAGATTGAGAAATTAGCTGCTCTAGTCTCATTTGCTCTAAGTGCACATTAGTTTAATCGCTTACATTAGTAGAACACATGAGTGTGGCATTTCATTTCTGGCAACAATCATGAACAAGAGAATTAATTCTGTAAAATATCGTTTTTCATGTATATGTTACCGAATGTAACAGAACTCAACAGATGGAGAAGGTGTTATTAGAACTTTTTGTAAAATTTTTGACTTGAATAGAGCACACAAAATAAATTGATCACAGGGGAAACTGTAATGCATGAGATTTCAGAACCGTCTAGCTCTGGTTGGGGGGGATGCCTCTTGTAAAAAAAGTAATAGTGGTGAATGGGAGACGAAATTGTTGGGGATCATTTCTCATGATTAAGAGAAGATAGCTATGAAGCCTGCAAGAGTGCAAACCAAGCAGGATAAGGAAGGAGATCACAAATGTAGGAAACGAAGCATTGCATGCGATTGAATGGGCACAAACAAGATCAAACGGTGTAAGCAAATAACGATAGATTGTGAGGTAGAAGCTATCGGACAAACTCATGCATGCAGCTGCAGATGGGCTTTTGATCGTGCAAGTGTGTGAGGGAGAAGGATAATTGAGTACGTGATCGAAAAAGGAAGTGCTTGGGTTGATAAATGCTTGAATTGATTTCATTTGATAGAGCATGAGTGAGGTTGAGCATAAGCCGCTGTTGAACTCAAGTTGAGCTTTCCTCGATTGAGTGATTAGGGATTTAATTAGAATATTAAATCAAAGTTTGCAAATACCAAGTAAAAGTTAAAATGAGTTTATTAAAATGTAAATCATTAAGAAACAAGTGAGTACTCTTACTTCTAATTATAGTATCATCTATTTTTTATAATATTCATATATTGCATGATTGTTGCAAGCTTTTTAATATATATATATATATATATATATATATATTTTTTTTTGAAAGCCCAAAAAGGCTAATATATTAAATAGAAAGAAATATACAAATACAATATATGGGAGGGCCCAAGCATGGTATCCTGCCCACACCAAAAACAGCAGATTGTTCCAAAACTTTAAAAAAACAGAAAAATACATTAGATATTTAAATAAAAAACCCAACAGTGCCGAAATACATGGTAGGTGGCTAGAGAGCGACCCGATTTGGTCTTGCCTCTACTTCTAGTACTAGGGAAGCAACAAGCTAATAAGCTGGTAAGATGATTGCCATTGCTAGTAGTAACCAATGTATCATCCAATATGTTCCCGAGCTAGAGTCGGCCTCCATTCTTCTTCTTCCTCCTGGAATACGCCTGCCATTCCTCTTCCGAAGAAGCAGTCTGATGGGTTGGTAGAGCTGAAGCAGAAGGAATACCAACCGTATTACCCATAATTGATTCTAGTATATGTGAAGTATGAGTTGCCTCTACACAAGATACTTCCTGAAGAAGTGGAGCTACGAGACTCTCTTGATTATCAGTCTGAACACTATCATTTGTAGGTAATAGTCCATTAGTATTGTTTTCTATGGGGTTTGAAGGTGCCAACATCACATCACTCGCAGTAACAATAACAGCAGTGTCATGGGGGGGTGGTCCTCAGGGGCAACAGACACCTCCGGTTTGGTAGTATCCTCCCCAGGTGGAATTAAAATGTCCAAAGCAGTGGGGTTAGATCCATCTTTATTCACTTGAACCTTAGATTTCAAATTTGGTTGAAACTTGTGGCATTTATCTAGGACATGACCAAACATCTTATAGTGGGTACAATATGGGGGTCTATGCTCCATGATGATTTGTTGCCAATAACCATTATGGGTTGTGCCCAGTCAGACTTCAGTAATATCAGGTAAATTAATATCCCTTTCCACAAGTATTCTAGGCACCGAAAATCTGACTAGGTTGAAAGTAGACAGATCTAGTTTCAAAATATCCCCAAGGATGACCCCAATAGAGTAGAGAATCTGGTGGTGAAAAAAATGCAGCTTGAGACCAGTTAAACTAAACCACACCGGTACAGTGGGAGTTTCATGATTTGGATCGAAATCAGGAGACCACTTAAGTTGCTTCATAGGTTTACCAACGATGTTAAGATATTTTCTGGAGAAAATTTGAGTGTGGTTTTCAGGCACGATTAACTGAATCAAATACATGTCTCCCATCCATGAGCCCCACTTTCAAAATAAAAACTAAATTTTTGTGTTCTATATGTAAATGCATAAGAATTACGTGGTATGTTTGTAAATGCCAAAAAAATTTTCTGCTGTAGTCTCATTAGCTCTAAGTGCACATTAGTTTAACCGCTTACGTTAGTAGAACACATGAGCCGAACACGAATAGACAATTCATGAGCCATTTCGAACATGAGCTGGACACAAATTTTGTCAGGAGCCCATTCAATTATTTCGATAATAAATTATTAGTGATAGAATATTAAATTAAATTTAAATTTGCACGTAAGACAGTTTGTTCCGGTCTTGAAAATTTGAAGCCCTTGGGCTTGCGACAAAGTGATAATAATTTAAATAAAATGGTGAAAAAAAAGACGAGCCAGACAATATTTGCATTATTAACTCCAACATGCCTACAGTCGCGCTCGCCACCACTTAAGATCCCACTACGTGAACTGTTAGCAAGTTGGGGAAGAAACTATTGTGCCACATCTTACTTTGTTGGAGAATACTATTCTCAATTTGATTATAGGCAAGGGTATGAGTTCCTTTTTGTCAATTTGACAAGATTTAGTCAATTAAAAGAAATTTTACAGTAGCAAACATAGGGTACAAATTGAGGTACATGTTACACTACGCTAGTATGATGAGGTGAATAATGTGGACCTTTGAAGTGCATTTTGACCCGACAGAAGATTGAGCAACAAGAAGCTTTTATCCCAGTAAGTGGGGTTGACTGCATGAATCTTTTTTTTTTCCATTGTACCATATTGAGTGTCGTATTTTCACTTAATTCTAATAAATTAAGATAATCTCTTATACAACATATTTAAGTTTTTTTAGTTATACCTCTACCTTTCTTAACATAAGTCAAATCTAAAACATCTAATCTCCTAACAAAATCATCAAATGGTCGGCGTTTAATATGACGAAGCCATTTAAGGAGGCTGACGCGGGTGCATTAAGCACGGCGTTGGCACGTTGTATAATGCCGTGGGCGCGGTGTAGAGAGAATACCAGGCTTCGCCCGAGGTGTCCTTTGTTTGGACCAAACCGGTCTTGACCCGGGAGGGCCGAGGGGTTCTCACATGAGTGATTGATGCCTCCTTTGAATCGGGGGATCAAATCCTAGTTATGTACGGCTTATTTAGGTGATTTATGCATTTAGGTTTTCAGTCTTTGGTTTAAATTTTTTGTCGATGCTATCTTTCTTCCCTTTTAGGGTTGTATTCAAATATGAGAAAGCGCTCCGGTTGTAACTCATCGGATGTGGTCACTGTCCCCCAAGGATTGAATGGTGCTTCGGTTGTACTTTCATCCTGCAGGGATATTTATTCTTGATCTTTCCCCTCCTTCGCAAACTTGCCTTCGCCGCCACCATCACCATATTCGCTGCAGCCTCCCGGAAAATATCTTCCACTGTTTTCCTGCAGCAGCCTACCACCTTATTCCCTCCCACCTTGCTGTCATCCCTCATTTCTGCCTTCCAGCACCCAGCCAGCCCCTCTCCTGCCACCTATCCTTTGTTCCATCCAAATGGAATCCCTTCCCTCGCATCCTAGTTATTGTCCCAACCTTCCCAAACCAGTTCCCTACCACCTCATCACTGTCCAGCCACCTCCAAACAGCAACTGCTGCTGTTTGGAATGTCATCCCCTGCTGTCTTGCTGTTCTAGCCGCCCATAATCGCTGCCGGCTCTCTTCCGCAGCCCGGAAATCGGTTCCCTCTCTTTCTGCCTTCTCTCCAAGGCCCTAATTGTCACCGCCGTCTCCTAGGAACCGCCCTAACGTAAGTTTGCATATTGTGTTGTATTTTCCCTTTCAAGTGTGTTTGATTTTAGTCGCATATTTGCTTCCGGTATAATATTTGTATTTTTTATTGTGGTTTGGGTTAACTTCAGTATCAATTGATATCAGAGCTAGCCTAACCCTAGTCCCATTCTAGGATTTCCTAGCATCCACGTACCCAAACCATCTCCACTTCAAAAAAAAAAAAAATTCTTCCCTATCCCCAATACACTATTCCAAATCTCAAACCCTAACCATGTTGTCAAGGAGACACATGTCCTGATCTACCTGTGAATGGTGTGCATTTTGCATTAATATAAAATAAAAAAATACAAAGCAGAGCTATAAATGCTACATAAAAGAAATAGTGTGGGCGGCATCAGCCTCGATCACACTCAAAAAGTCAGGGTCACAATTGGGAGTGTCCCAAACAAAAGACCTATCCAAAGCAAGCTAAGAATTAAAATGGGTCGCTTTGTTACAATTTATAGGGGTATAACAAAAAGGAACCTGTTTAAACAACTAGGCGATGTCTTCCAAGTGTTGTCTTTCATGCTGGTTGACATTTATACGATGCCCTTCAATTATTACGCCTTTGAGTTCATGCATCCAAGTCTCAATGCATTTCTCGATGAACAGAATAGCTTCCAGCTCAATTTGGGAAGAATCCCAATTCAAGAGTTTGCTGCTGGCGGACTGCACAAGCTTAACCCTGTTCCAATCGCACCACAACACCAATACCGGCTTGACCACTATGAAGCATCACGCCGTTCACATTTATCTTTATCCAGAGGTGGGGAGCACCAATGAAGGGAACAAGACAGCCTGTCCAGCTGAGAAGTACAACATTACGGGTAAGAGTTATAAGAATAGAAACAGCCATTATAGTTGGGGTCCCAA